GATACTTAAAGCTGTCACCTTTAACTTGGGGAGATCCTGCAGGTACTCTTTAATAGCACTAGAGTCAAAATGCTAACACATGCAGAGTTGGGCCCAAGAGTTCCAGTCAAAGACTCAAAGTGAACATGATCCCACCACATGTAGAAAAATACTATTAAAGCAAAATTAGGTAACGTAGAGACTTGTGTGCTTTTGTATTTTTGTTTTTTGAAGCTTAAATTTGTACCAATATTGCTTGAGGTCAGAAAACCTGTTTATTATGGAAGTGATGACCATTAAAGAGTAGGGTTGGGCAATATTGGCAAATAAATTAATCACGATTAATTGTGGTATTTAGCCGATAACAATTAATTTGACGATTAATCCCCTGGAGTCCCTGGACGCCCTTATATACTAGTCACATGACCAATTTATAGGGAGAAAATTGGCTCTTCGTAAAAATCTGTTCCAATTTGTGTCAAAATTACAGACTTCAGGCTATACATCAAACTTTAAATTGTGTTGATAGATAAATAAGTTACACAACTTTTTTAAATGTTTGTTATATTTGAAGCAGAGACTAGCACCAAGCGGTTAGTCTGCCTGGTGGCATTAATTGTATTAATCGTGAAGTGACAAAAATTAATCGATTAATGTTTTTCTGACGATTAATTGCACACGATACGATTATGCCCAACCCTATTAAAGAGCAATGTTCATCCTTAACATTATTTAGGCTTCTTGTATATTCAGGGACCCAGCAGCGCGGGAACGATGGCGAGCAGTCTAGTTGCCCACCAGACCACCTCTATTCTTCAACACAAAAGTGCTCAGTGGGGTGCTAATTGCATTAGGCGTCCTTCTCCCTTCCTCACTGGCCTGCGTGTGTGTGTGGAGGGGGGTCGTTGCCCTGAGTAGAATGATGGGGGGAAAGAGAAGGGGATTGGAGAGAAGTGTGGGATGTTTGAGAAGTAGGGGAGGCAGAGTGTGACTGTGTGTGTGACTGTGTGTGTGACTGTGTGTGTGACTGTGTGTGTGA